AGATGTGTGTGTGTGTGTGTGTGTGTGTGTGTGTGTGTGTGTGTAGGAGATGCTGGAGGCCTGTGATGTTTTCAGCTGTTCATCCTCCTGGTGGGCAAATGGAGGGTTTTGCAGGGGTGGAGGGAACCACCTAGCATTGCTGGGTTCCTGGGGTGGGGTGGTGGTATTGTTATTCAAAGTCAAACCCACCTCTGGTGGTTGGGGGAGCTGTGTGCCAGGGAGGCTCCCCTGCTCCCCCCCAGCTAAGTAGGGGTGGGGAGAGGCAGGGGGAGGCCGGAGTGGAGTGGGGTCAGCAGGGGCAAGAGAGCCCTGACCAGGGTGGGCACTGAGGAAGGGATGGACTGTTGTGGGCACAGCAGGCGGTGAGCGTTGATGAATCAAATGGGCCCCACAGATGCGGGACCCCAGAGTGGGCAGGAACCTGGGCTGGTGGTCTTCAATCCAGTGAGCTGGGAGCCAAGGCTATGCTAGGAGGTGCATGCACAGGGGCTGGACACACAGTGTGGCCCCCAAGGCCTGGCAGAGCCACCAGAACTTATGCTGCACTGCAGGTGACAGGCACCCATGGTCCTATCCATGGGTGGCTAGGGGCTGGCCCTGAGGCAGGCAGATGGGGGGATGTAAGCCCAGCTGAGCCACCACCAAGCATGGGCAGTTGGGTGGGAGGCAAAGGGTTGGGGGTGAGTCAGTGACCCCGGATCAGTCAGGGATAGTGGCCTGGTCCAGTCCTCAGGATCCTGAGTGGGCAGGGTCACATGGCAGCTGGCTTCCCCAGCTGGCCAGCAGCACCCCAGCTAACTACATCCTGGCCCTGGATGGGCCGTGCGATGAACTGGAGGCCTGAGGCCCCCTTTGCCACTGTCCTGGCTGCTGCTGCCAGGGGGAAGGGCCTCCAAAGGACGGAGGTTCCTAGTGGGCTTTGTGTGGGCTGTGGGGTCCCTTTCCTTGTCGTGCCCGCCCTGGCGCAGGGGAGAGAGTACAGGGCACAGGAGGGGATGTGGTGTCAGTAGGGGCCTGCACATGCTCTCCCATCAATGTGTACAGGCAGCTGTGCGCCTGGGACTGGCTTGGGAGGGGACCCTGGAGTGGGTCTCCACTAGGTTGGGGCATACCCGCCCCATACCCATTATTCTGATTCACCTAGTCTGCTTCCAGCCACCCAGGTGCAGCCCTCCTGGGAGCTTGCATCTAGGCCCCTGGCCACCTGTACCTCACCTGTGAGCTGCATGTAGCACCCACCCCCCCCTCTGCTCAGCTTCACCTCCGCCAAACCCTGAGCTCAGGTGCCCCTCCCTGCACTTAGACACATCTCTGCTGTACCCCCTGTGGCCCCATATCCCATGGGGAGCCCCAGAGACCATTCAAAGGTCCTTCCTCCAAGGAGTCTGCAGGGTCACCAGCCCAGTCCCCTGCTGCAGCATCCCTCCCACAGAGAAGACAACAGAGCAAACTGGCTTGAGAGGGTGGGGGCATGTGCAGGCTCCCCACAGCGTGGGAGCTCCTGGGGCAGGTGGCATGGAATTGTCAGCCCCTGTCGATGACGAGTGTGAACCTAGCCCAGATCTCAGCCCCAGGGCGAGCCTGAGTGTGCCTGCCTCACTCCCACCAGACCTCAGACCCACCCACGTGTCTGACCCTCAGGGCTCCTGGGGCACAGGCAGTCAGGGTGGGGGTGGAACACAGGATGACAGGCAGGTATTAGAATACGGTTTATTTGTATATTCAGTGCTACCGTGTCAGGATGTGGTCATGTGGCCCCGTAGCTGAGGTAACAGGCAGAGCCATGGCTTGGCCTTGGCTCCGGGGCGAGGCAGGGCTGGGGACCCAGCAGGGGGATGGGTTATTGCATTGGACCCCTTCAGGCCTGGAAGCACTCACACTCACACACTCGCTCACACGCCTGTTACGTTCACACACACCGACCTGCTGCTCAGGCTCAAGTCTAATGACAAGTATAACCACTGCCCACAGTCATAACAAAATAAAATACGTGTATGTCAGCTTACAAGAAGAAAGTGCATGGAGGTCCAAGCGCCGAGAGTGGCGCAGCCCCCCACCCCGGACGACCCTGGTCCCTGTCGGGGGTGTGCCCCTGAGCTGCGACACTGGGCTGTGGCCAGGTCCGGATCACAGAAAGGCCCTTGCTTCCCAGGCCTGGGACCAAATAGACTAAAAAAATAAACGTTTCCTCTTGCAGCCTCAGGCTACGGTGGTTGGGGGCTCTGCTGCGCCCCAGCCTGCCCACCCAGCCAGAGCCCGAGGACGACCCCTGGGTGGGCGCCGGCTGCAGTCGAACTCTGAGCTCCGGAGGTGCCGAGCCCCTGCATTTGGACAGTCGTGGGGGTGGGCAACGGATGCGTGCAGCGGTGGGGCAGGGTCCTGGGGGTGGGGTGGGGGGGTTGGTGGTCCTTCCCTCAGAACTCCACCCTACTCACGACCGTCCTGGGCTCATCGAAGGCTGCGATAAGGATCTGCTGGGGGGTGGGCACAGCCAGGAGCTCGCCCATGTCCGGGGCTGCGCAGGGGTGTCCTCCCTCTTCCTCCCTGGCCTCATACAGCGTGCCGATGTGCAGAAGAGGGTGGGTGGCGTTTCGACTCAGGATGGTCAGGGGCTCAGCCTTGCCCAGGCCGGCTGGGGACAGCGGGGTCGCGGCAGGAGCCGGATGTGGCGAGCAGACGTGGAAGGGGCCGCCAGCGGGGAGCCCGGCCAGGGGTGCCTCTGCTGGGAAGGGCAGCTCCTTTTCCGGGAGTGGATGTGGGGTGTCTGGAAGTGGCGAGAAGGTGTGTGTGTCACGGGTGTGCCCCAGTTGGCCGGTGTGTCCCCTGGGCCGTATCCCTGCCCTGTCCACAGCGCACGTGCCTTGAGCACAGACAGGGTGAGGGGGGCCCAGAGGTGAGGCTCCTGCGACCCGACCTTATCTCTCCTTCCCCTCCCGCTCCTCCTACACCCAGGACCTCCCCTCTTCCCTGCTGGCCATTCATTCACCCAGTAGATGAACCCCTTGCCCCTGCCCCACCTCCTATTGGGGCTGAGGTAGCTGGTGAAACCCCGAACCTCGTTCCCAGGTGCCCAGGGCACTGGGGCCAACTCCTCCGCCCGGGCCAGCCCGCCCCTCGCTGCGGCCCCCTACCTTTGGTGGGTGCGGGGGCCAGGCCCAGCGCACACTCCTCTCCCTGCGAAAGGAAGCCCCCCTCCTGGCTCCGGGAGGCGGGCAGGGCGGCGGCGGCAGCGGGGGCGGGGGTGGCCTCGGGC